AGGCACAGCCGCTGTTTGGGGACGGTTTGCGCCTGTTCCCTGTGGCTCCTTGTGGTGTGGGACTGGGTGGCGTTGGGAGTCATCAAGGAAGGGTTCACTCCAGACATGCCTGGTTTCAGGGAAGATGAACAACGCCAGGTGTTTTGGTGAAAACCTGTAATCTCGGTACTTCGGGGGCTGAGGCAGAAAGGCTGGGAATCAGGCTAGCCTGGGCTATAAGAGTGAGTCTGAAGCCAGCCTGTGTGACAGAGCAAGATCCTGTCTCATAAGAGGGAGGGAGGAGCTGGATGGATGGCTCAGCAGTTAGGACCATTAACTACTCTTGAAAAGGACCAGAGTCCATTTCCCAGCTCCCACACGGTGCCTCACCACCATCTGAAACTCCAGTTTCAGGGGGTCTCACGCCCTCTTCTGATCTCCATGGGCACCAGGCATGCATGGGGTGCCCATACATACATTCAGACAAAACAGGAACACATAAAATAATATTCAGTCTTTTAAAGTGTGGGAGGGGAGAGGAGAGAAAGAACAGGGAGGGGGGGAGAGATTAGGAAATGGGATAAATGTTTCTTGGACTGAAATACATACAAACTTACCATAAACCACAAAATGAGATGCTGATTCTTCCCTCAAGCCCAAACTCCTAGAAAGACTTAGGAGGCATGAGTCCACTTCCATGAGGCAGCTAATGTCATGAAATCACAGACTAGTATGTAGTTTTTGGAGTCAGGGGACAAGGAGGAAATACAGTTGCTAATCCCACAAAGCTTTAGACTAACATGATAACTAAACTCCAGAGATCTTCTGTGTACCACTATACTGACAGCTGACAACCACGGACATTCCATAAGAGGGTGGGTCTCATGGTAAGCATCCCAACAACAATAAAATATTACTGATTTTTAATTTATTTTTGAGGCAGGGTCTCACATAGCCCAGACTGACCTCAAATGTGCTACATTGTCCAGGATGACCTTGAACTCCTCATTTTTGTGCCTCCACCTCCCGAGTGCTCGGATTACAGGTGTAATCCACGTCCTCGTTTATGTAGTGCTGGGAACTAAGCTCAGGACTTTGTGTGTGCTAGGCAAGCACTCGAGCTGAATCCCCGGCCCTAAGATAATTTCTCTTAGATGCCCGTGTTGTTAGTGACAGCGTGCCTGAAAGACAAACAGCCGAGGCCAGCCTCATCTCAGCAAGGAGTTAGTTATGCCGGAGACATTCCCCATGAACTTGGAGAATGAAAGTGAGGTGGCCTCCTCCCCATCCAAACACCGTTGTTATTTGAGAGAGATCTGCATTTTTTTTTCCTTCTCGGAGTGGGCTGCGTCTTTGTTGGCCAGCGCGGTGCACCACACTCAGCCTGCCTGCTTCCGCTGGCTTGGCTTGCTCACTAATTAGAGAGCTGCTGCCTGATTCACCTTGTTAATTAGAGGGACTTGAACATGGAGGCCTCCGGGCAGTATGCGAGAGAGCCTCGCACCAGTGCCCCGAGAACGAGGCAGTCTGTGAACTCATTCTTCTCATCTACCTTCTATTTTTCATTTGAAATGAATAAATCATTGAGATTTTCCTTGTGGAGTGAGAACGCAAGAATTCACATCTTTGTAAGATGTAAATTACATGTGATCAATAGGAGAGGCTTTTGCGCATGTGGTACTTACATGCTTTTTCTAATTCCCCTCTTGTTGGTGGGTGGAAAATGACCTGTAATGCGTGTCTCCTCTCCGTGAACCCATGCCCTTCACCAGCTGAGAGAGGGTGCCGGGCAGGAACACAGTGGTTGTATGGACACTGTTGGGAATGGATCCAGTGGTTTGCAGTTCACTTGCACATGGCAAGGGGGGAGGGAGGTGATGCACACCTGTAATCCCAGCACTTGGGAGGCAGAGGCAGGTGGATCTCTGAGTTCAAGGCCAGCCTGGGCTACAGTGAGTCCCAGGACAACCAGGGCCACACAGTGAGACCTTGTCTTAAAAGAGTAAACAACAGCAAAAATGCTTTGGGGAAGGGGACACTTAAGGAAGAGGAGCCTCAGCAAAGCATTTGTTGGACCAGCCTGGCTCTCTAACCTCCCTCCCCCAGGGTCCTAACTGCTCATAAAGAAAACAAAGGTATTAGGTAGTTTCAATTTAGACACCCCCACGCCAAAGTCTCACTATGTAGCTCAGGGTGTCCTTTCATTCATTATATAGCCCAGGCTGACCTTGAACTTGTGATTCTCTGGCCTCAGCCTCTGGAATGTTAAGGCATGTACTACCTCACCTGAGTGAGATACCCCAGAGATGTTCCTTGATTGAAATTGAAGTTTTAGGTGTAACACCTAGGCCTCTGACCTGCGCGCCTATACACACACCACTATCCCCTGACCATACACAGAATTTAAAAGAAAAGAAAAACTAGGTTGAAGAGATGGCTAGGTGGTTAATAATAGCACTTACTGCTATTCTAGAGGACCTAAATTTTGTTCCTGAGTACCTCAGAACTGCCTGTAACTCCAGCTTCAAGGAGATCCAATGCCCTCTACTGGCCTCTGCAGGAACTACACACATATATGCACATACCTACAGACATGTACACATATACACATAAATTTTAAAAATCATAAAAAAAAAACTCAATTAATAAAAAAAAAAAAATCTACTGGGACTTGACCAAACTATAAAGCTGATCACAGAAGTGGGCATGTCCACAAACAATGTGTTTTTCTTCCCTTTCTCCTGCACAGGGAGGGCGCTATGAATGTTCTTCTCAGTGGCTTTTCTCTATCTACTCCATCAAAAGGAGACATTGCAGAGAAGAAAGATGGATTCTTCACAGGTGGAAAAGGGGATGCAAGTATGGACTCCCCATGTTAAAAAGCCAAAGGGTTCCTGCTAAACAGAGCAGTCTAGTAACCCCACTGTCAGACTTGGAGGTTACTCTGTCTCTCATAGAGCATTTCTAGTCCTTACACAGACTCCTTGCTGAGACTTTGGCAAAAGGCATGCAAAATTATCTCTTTGTAGAAAGGAAGGAACTTTATATCTGCATATATATATATATATATATATATATATATATATATATATCTCTATATCTATCCTGGGGAAAATGCTGATGCTGTTTTCTAGAATGTTCCTTGCATCCTTGGGCATATCTGACTTGGTACCCATGAGCTTGCTTTCTTTGTACATTTATTGCATCCATAACACAGGGAGAACACCAAGGGCGTCGTTGGCCTTGGGACCCATTTGCAGAGGAGGGAACTGGAGGAGCAGTTGGCCATGGGCACACAGTGTGGCCAGTGCTCTGGGCCATGGTGACTGTCCTAGTGCAGGGGATGAAGTCTCAGGAGAAGGGATGTTTGTGAGGGTTTGGGGCGTGCGATGTGCGGGGAATGCGCAGAGATGCTGGGCATTTCTGTCAGTTTATAGGAAGCCATAGAAATATCAAGCTCATCCTAGGCTGAGAGCATCTAGGGAAGGCTAGAGATTGGGCAGGAGGGAGGCAGATGGCAGCCAGGGTGTAGAGGGGGATGGGGTGGGGATTTGGGGGGTTTCCACAGCTCCTGGAAGGTGAGCCCAGGCGTGTTTCTCCATATATTCTACTTAGTGTGTGCCTGCTGTGAGCCTCCAGCCTGAGGACGCAGGGCCCGGGCGCAGCAGGGGCCCAGGCCGGTCTGCAGAGCACTTGGGAGGGTGTAGCCCTGTTCTTGCTTTCTTTGACATTTTTTTTCTCTGCATATCTCCAGCCCCGTGTGCTGGAACCACAGAACAGAGTGAAAACAGAAAGTGAGTCTAACAGGCAAAAATATCCGCTTCTGCATTAGCCACAACTTGTCTGAATTTCAAGTTTAATTATTATGTGCCTCCTGCACACTGGGTTTTTAGACAGGTGGTGCCACTCCCAACTTACTGCCATTTTTAATTGGCACGTGATACATAGGATGAGATATCATGTGATGTTTTGATATGTACATGCATTGCATAACCATCAGATCAGGGTCATCGGCATCCCCATCAAACATTTGCCATTTTGGGGGGCATGTTCAAAATCCTCCCTTAGAGTTAATTGAAAATACACATTAGGGGCTGGCTGGTTAGCTCCTTTGGTTAGAACTTGGTGCTAATAAAATACCCATTAGAGCTGGACAGACAGCTCAGTGATTAAGAACCTGGGTTCAGTTCCTGGCACCCACATGGTGGCTCACAACCATCTGCAACTCCAGTTCCAGGGGAATCTGGTGCCCTCTTCTGGCCTCTGAGGGCACTGCACACACACGTTGCCCTGCAGCTCATGCAGCGAATGCTCATACACATAAAATAATAAATAAATCTTTAAAGAAACACACACTGTGTTATTGTTAACTATAGCCTCCCTACTGGAATACTCAACGCCCACAAATCTTAATTAGGATCCACACACCTGGCTCCGTGAAGGTAGAATTGGGCCCAGTCCTTTGCCAAAGTTACCACAAATAACCAAGGGTCTCAAGAAGAAAAAGGACCTATGGAGAATCAGGCAGAAGCAACTAGCACTTGAGGAGGCACAGGTGTGCTGGATAGTCTCACGTCAGCGTGACTAAAGTCGTCTGGGAGGGGCAACCTCAACTGAGAAAATACCTCCATAAGATCGGGGTGTAGGCACGTTAATTGTAGGCACATTAATTAGCCATTAGTGGGGGAGGGCCCAGCCCACTGTGGGTGGTGCCATCCTTGGGCTGGTGGTCCTGGATTCTATAAGAAAGCAGGCTGAGCAAGCCAGTAAGCAGCACCTCTCCACGGCCTCTGCATCAGCTCCTGCCTCCAGGTTCCTGCCCTGCTTGAGTTCCTGCCCTGACTTCTTCTAATGATGGATTGTTGATGTGAAAGCATAAGCCAAATGAACCCTTGCCTCCTCAGCTTGGTCTTAGTCATCCATGGTGTTTCACCACAGCAACAGTAACTGTGACTAAGACAGGGATGCTCTGTGAAGTATAAAAGCCATATCTGCGAGACGGGGATGTCACCGGGGAGGGAGGCGGCTCTGGCATTGAGCTTTACAGAACGAAGGGGAAATTGGGTTGCAGTGGGGGTGATGGGAAAGGTTTTCCAGACAAGTGGCAGCTAGTAAGAGCGAGCGGCTGGCTGGGGGGGTGCGCTGCATGGCTCGGGCTGCCGGGACTCACTGAGGTTCTCATTCAGGGACGGAGCCGGGGCATCGGCAGTGGGACCCGGAGGACCGGAGGGAGGGTTCAGGGCAGAGTATAAACAGGATCAGATCTGAATTCAGAAAGGAGGCTCCTGCCCTGTGCTGCTGTGATCTTCCCAAGCTATTGTGTTAGGACCGCAAAAGTGGGGCCTTTTTATCATCTAGGCGAGAGCTTTGCTGTGTTGGAACCGGCCCAGACTGGCTGAAGGCTGCGAGGTGGGTCAACACAGTGAGCAGCGCCCGGGAGGTGTCTACAGATGTGGAAATGGAGGGAGGTGAGTTTCAGATGTGGAAAGAGGGGTAGGGAGAATATCCCCGCTTCTCACTGCGGAGTGGCCTGGCATCCTGCTTCACGTGAGCCGTGTGAGACTTCCTGCTGCACAGCCTCCAGCCTGAAAGCTGTGGAGATGGGAGAATCCGGCTATATGGTCCCATCCACCCTCCGAGGGTGCTGGGTCCCACGGTAAAGCCGCCCTCATCAGCACACACCACCGCTTTCCCAGAGAGTGTGAGCTGCCCGGTACAGGCTGTCATGTTGTCATCAACTTTATATGGTGTGTCCTTTCTGCTTTTTTTTTTTAAAAAAAAAAACAAAAAAAAAACAAGCTATTTTTATTTTAGGCGTAGTAGAACCCCACCCCAGGGGATTTGAAGCCAGGTGCTTTCCAATTCGGGAATCACGGGGTCCACTCTACACAGTGAACCCACCTTCCTCTGCTCAGACAAGTCAAGTCCTGTCTTTGGCATGGCCATTCCAGATGACTGTGGGGTCCAGCAACCTTGTCCTTTCTCCCTGGGAAAGGCCAAAGGAGGGACAGATGCCATGAAGGTGGGTCACAACAGTCACTGGGCACTGCCACTCTCGGGGCTAAAGGTGATGCTGCGTTTGACTCTTACTCCCTCTG